CATTCTTTTATATGCATACACGATCTGAAAGTGTATTTGACAAGGTGTTATTATGTTTAGTTGGTGGTGCTATGTGTGTTTATTCTCTTTGTACTTTGTGATTGCTGGAATCCTACCTAATAAAGACAGAATATGCAAATTGACCATCACACCATCACAAGATGGTGGTGCCCATAACCACAAGATGGCAGTGCCCAGTCCCCTCAGCCCCACTGGAGTCCCTCAGTCCTTTAAGCCCAGATGGGGAAGGTGCATGGCAGGTTCACGGTATGGTTGGACCCCCCCTCAGCCCCCCAGCCGCCCAGGGCCACCTGAGGCTCAGGTAACTCGGACTGGTCGAAGCTTGCGCTGCTGGCAGTGGCAGCAGCAGAGGTGTGATGAGGGCGCTGCCTTCCCCTGATGGTCGGGTCACGTCCCACCCCTGAGGGCTCCTAGACTGTGAGCAGGCCGGGTTGAGAGACCCTCCCCCCTCCAGTGCATGAATTTTCATGCACCGGGACTCTAGTATTTTAATAAATACCATACATTTCCCCAAAACTTTTATTATGAAAAATTTCATACATTCAGAATAATTAAGCACATATGCACCCACCATGGGGATACAAACATTAATCTTTCATTATGTTTGCTTTATCATGAGTTTCTATCTCTCAGTCCCTCTCTCTATCAATCAGACATTGTTTTTGGATAAATTACAAAGTGCGTTTCAGGTATCACTGCAGTTCACATATAGACATTTCAGCAACAGATCATAACATAGTGCAACCTAGGAGACAGAGCCCATATTGCAAGAGAGATGGTGAGTTCAAGTTGACCCAGGTTTGCATGAGGTTCCAAAGAGATAGCTCAGGAAATGAGTAGAACAGACAGAAATGAGTAGAGGAGAAATGTAGGCTCTGATATAGTCTGCTTGGGATTGAAGAAGGATGTTCTAGGGATGGATCTTTGCCCAAGTGAGAGAGGAGACAGAGAGAAAGAGAGAGTGCCATGTGCTAAAGTTCAGGGCTCCAAAGGGTAGGGCAAGGGGCCAACAGACACACACCCAGTGCTAGCCCTGGGCCAGACCAAGATGCACAGAGGGAGCCCAATGATATGGGAAAAGGAAAAAAAGATGGTAGCCTGAGCGTCAGCTGAGGAGTGAGGTGAGAACAGCAGAGACCCTCTTCTCTCTGTTTCACTGAGTCAGGGGCAATGAACGTGGTTTGATGCTCCTCACGTGCCCAGTTAGGCAGCACAGGTGGGAAGCCAGGCTGGAGGACCTGGGCAGGAGCAGGGGACCCAGCCTGAGTGCACCTGTGTTCATAATCTGCTCTTTCCAATTCACCAGGTGTTGAAGAGCCATGGACAACACTACCTGGTTGGCAACAGGCTCAGCAGGGCTGACATTCACCTGGTTGAACTTATCTACTATGTTGAAGAGATTGACCCCAGCCTAATGGCCAACTTCCCGCTGCTGAAGGTGACCCCTTTCACAGCCCTGGGGAGGGAAGGTCCACATCCCCCATCTTGGAATCTAATATCTGGCCTCTTGGACTGGCGATGTTATGATCACATCATTTTCCAGGCTCTGCTGCCCCCAGGTCTCCAAAATTTGCTTTAGGCCCTGGTCTGAGGCAGGAAATGAATCTTGTTCTGCCAAAGAAATTGGAGGCAGACACCACCCCAAAGAGAATATTTTGTCTTTCACAATGCGAAGAACCCAGGACTCAGCATCTCTGTCCTCAGCTCCTGCTCCTTCTCTCAAGCACTGTGCTTCCCTCCAGACTGTCCCTTTTCTCTTTCTGTCTCTCTCACAGGGAAGATTGCTTTTGACTGTCCGCATGGTTGACCTATATTTTCTATCTTCAGTTCCAGCCCAGTTGTCCCACATATTCATTTCTCCAGTTTGCAGCCTTTACCTGTGTTGCTCTGAAAGTCACATTAGTCTTCCTTGTCTGCACTAAAGTGAGAATCCTCAGGATTTCCATGTGGGGAGGAAGACACGGAAGACTGTGAACTGAATCAAGTCTTAACCGTGTCTCTGGGGGAAGTGTGTTTCCTTCCCCTTATCTTCCTTTCTTGCTGGGTGTCTGTTTCCCTGCCCCCTGCTGGTGCTGATGGAGGGGACTCCATTGGTCTGTCCTCAGATCCCCTGGCCTGTGTAATGAGCCGTGGGTGTTGTGTCTCCATCTGAGGCTGTGCTTTGTGCATTGCAGGCCCTGAAAACCAGGATCAGCAACCTCCCTCCTGTGAAGAAGTTTCTGCAGCCTGGCAGTCAGAGGAAGCCTCCCATAGATGCGAAAGCATTAGAAGAAGCCAGGAAGATTTTCAAGTTTTAAATAAAGGAGGCATGGGTGCCCAGCACATGCAGGACTAATCTTCTGACGTCCAACAATGAAGTGCCTCTACCTAGGTGTAGTTCCTGGCTATTGTGAGAATAATAAACTTTTCCAAAATAATTCAATCTCCTATGAGCAGATTTTTTAAAAAATTAAATCTTTATTGTTCAGATTATTACATTGTTTCCTCTTTTTTCCCACCATAACTCCCCTCCACCCAGTTCCCACCCCACCCTCCGCCCTCACTCCCCACCCACTGTCCTCATCCATAGGTGCACGATTATTGTCCAATCTCTTCCCTCACCCCCACCCCCCTTTCCCCCCCCCAAGAATAGTCAGTCCATTCCCTTTCTATCTCCCTGATTCATTATAATCACCAGTTCATTCTGTACATCAGATTATTTATTCACTTGATTCTTAGATTCTCTTGTTGATCCTGATTCATTATAATCACCAGTTCATTCTGTACATCAGATTATTTATTCACTTGATTTTTAGATTCACTTGTTGATAGATGTGTATTTGTTGTTCATAATTTGTATCTTTACCTTTTTCTTCTTCTTCCTCTTCTTAAAGGATACCTTTCAGCATTTCATATAATACTGGTTTGGTGGTGATGAACTCCTTTAGCTTTTCCTTATCTGTGAAGCTCTTTATCTGACCTTCAATTCTGAATGATAGCTTTGCTGGATAAAGTAATCTTGGTTGTAGGTTCTTGGTATTCATCACTTTGAATATTTCTTGCCATTCCCTTCTGGCCTGCCAAGTTTCTGTTGAGAAATCAGCTGACAGTCGTATGGGTATTCCCTTGTAGGTAATTGAGTCTCTTTCTCTTGCTGCTTTTAAGATTCTCTCTTTGTCTTTTGCTCTTGGCATTTTAATTATGATGTGTCTTGGTGTGGTCCTCTTTGGATTCCTTTTGTTTGGGGTTCTCTGCTCTTCTTGGACCTGTAAGTCCATTTCTTTCACCAGGTGGGGGAAGTTTTCTGCCATTATTTCTTCAAATAGGTTTTCAATATCTTGCTGTCTCTCATCTTCTGGCACCCCTATTATTCTGATGTTGGTACGTTTGAAGCTGTCCCAGAGGCTCCTTACACTATCTTCGTATTTTTGGATTCTTTTTTCATTTTGCTTTTCCGGTTGGGTGTTTTTTGCTTCTTCGCATTTCAAATCTTTGACTTGATTCTTGCGCTCCTCTGGTCTGCTGTTGGGTGTCTGTATAATATTCTTTATTTCAGTCAGTGTATGCTTAATTTCTAGTTGGTCCTTTATCACAACATCGAGGGTCTCATTAGATTTCTTGTACATCTCATTAAGTTTATCGGCAGTCTCTAGAAGACTCTTGAAAGACCTCAAAAGTGTGGTTTTGAATTCTATATCCAGCAGCCTGCTTTCCTCCAGTTCTGTCATTTGTGTCCTGTTTCTTTGTCTCGGCATTTTTTTATGCTTCGCTGTGTCGATAGAGTGGCTTTCTGTTCTAAGTGTCCCAATTACCTGAGGTAGACACTCTTGGTGCACCCCCTTGTGGTCTTTGTGCACAGTCTTGTTGTAGCTAAGCCTTGATTGTTGTAGGTATCACTGGGAGGGATTTGGCCTCCAGGCCAACTGGCTTGAGAATCAGCTGTGTCTGCAGTGGGAGAACTTCTGTCCTCTAGAGAGGTCTAATCTAGCCTTTGCCTGAGGCTATTCCACAAATGCCTCTATGCAGGGCTTGGGCGGGGTGGGTCCCAGGGGATCAATAGGGCTGGCGGAGCGAGCAGTTATGGCTGCTCTCAGTCCCATCCCCAGAGGCTCTGCCTCTCAGTGTCCCAGCAACCACTGCAAACCTTGGAGAGAAAGCTGCCCTCAAGATCCGACCGATGCCAGACAGTCCCGCTTCTCCCGTTTGAGTCTGGGTCCCTACACACTTGCCCGGAACTGGAGCTCAGAGCCTGAAACTCCCTCCCAATTGAAACAGACAACCTCGCCCTCAGCCGCCAGCCCGCTCCACGCGCACCTCCAAATCTTAGTATTTCACTTCCACACTGCGCCTCCTCTGAGTCTCGGTATGGTTTTCTCTTTCCTTCTAGTTGTGGAATTTCCACTAAGCCAGCCTTCCTGTGGTTCTGGGTGATGTCCAATCCGTCTTTTAGTTGTATTTTAGAAGTGGTTGTTCGAGACAGCAAACTCTGGTGTTTACCTATGCCGCCATCTTGGTTTTCTCTCTCACATTCTTGAAGGCCAGAAATTATAAGTCAAATTGTTGTCTGGGCTGCACTTCCTCCAGAGATTTAGGGAAGAACCCTTTCCTGCCTCCTTCAGCCTCTGGTGGCTTTTTGCTTTCCTTGGCTCATGGTCACATCACTCCAATCTCTGCCTCTGTCTTCACATCAACTCACCCTTTGTGTGTCTGTGTCTTCTCTTCTGTTGTACAGACACTCATCATTTGATTTGGGGCCCACCTGGATAATCCAGGATGATGTCATCTCAGGTTCCCTTACTTAATTACACCTGCAAAGACCCTTTTTCTAAGTATGGTCACATTTACAGGTTCCAGGTATTTGGACATGGATCTGTCTTTTTAGGAGGTCACCACCATGGCCTCCCCACAACAGGGTACAGATCAAAAACATTGTTGGCAATTCTGAAGCAGGGGGATGGGTATGTTGGGCTTTCTCTACTTTCTACCATTCTCTCTATGGTTGTATTTGCTGGAAATTTTCCATTTAATAATTTAAAAGACTATATTATTTATTGAGCTATTATGTGCCAGGTACCATGCCTGGCACATAATAGCTCAATAAGGACATGATTGGAAACAAGATAAAAGCCCTACCTCCAAAACTTCACAGAGTTTGGGGAAAACTGATATTAAACATATGAGGTCAATAATGCTGTAGTGGCTCAAAGTAGAGTATTCCAAACAGAACAAATGGCTCGTGCAAAGGCCCAGCAGCTAGCAAGCCTGATATGAGTGTGGCATAGAGGAAAAGGTGTACTAACCAGGTTGCCAGATTTAGCAGAGAAAATACAGGATGCCCAGTTTAATGTGAATTTCAGATAAACAATAAATAATTTTTTAGAATAAGTATGTCCCTTGTCTGAAATTCACATTTAATCAGGTGTCCTGTATTTAATCTGAAACCCAATAGAAAAAGTATTCCACAATCAGCTTGCCCTTTTTCTTATTTCAGCTTCCTTTGCTGCTCACAGAAGAGGCTTTAGTCCTTGCATCCAATTCATGCAAACCTCACAGCAAGCTTCTTCAAAAGGCCATGCCCACTGATTGGCAGAGAGAGTTCGATAATCTGAAATGTTTTGTTTAATCTTTTATTTCTGTCCTTTAAAAGGAACATAACCAGTTGTTTCATGATAGGAGGGTGACTTGTCATTTTTCTTCTAATTTGGCATTGAACCCATGGAGTGGCTTGCCCCTCTCTGGAAGCTCCCCCTTTCAGAGAGGAGGAGTTATTTAACTATAAAAATAGCTGCTAAACACACGAGGAGGTGGCAGTGAGTTGCTGAGACAAGTGGGAGAAAGACTTTAATAAGGTAAGTACTGGTTTTATAACCTTCATCCATGCCATCACATCCTCACAGTGAAGTCACCAAAACAATATATCAAAATGTGTAAGAAAATGTCTGTTTTATACTCACATTGTGCCTTCTTGGTGTGCTTAGGAACAGTTCAAGAGTTGTGCATTCAATTGCTGTTGGATGAATCTTTATGAAAATGTAAAATAGAAGAATTTAGAAAGCGAGGGCATGAGCATTGTGATGTGAGAAAAATTAATAATATGAGAAGAAAAAAATGATAGCATTTTAGGCAATCTGAGAATCTGACCAGTGCAAGAGAGTGTAGGTATTTGTACTGAAGTTACTTTCTCTGTTGAAAGAGTCAACATGCAGCCATTGTGAATGGTAATACTGTAATACTATCGAGGCTGTGAAAGTTCAAAATTAAATTTATCATGATAGGATGAAATCAGTCTGAATGTCAGGGGAACTAGATTGCATTCCGTCTCTGCTGTGATTAGCTAACTGAGAAGTCCCGTGCTCTCTCTGGGGTTCATGGCCAGTCTAGCAAACGGCTGGAACAGGGTTCTCAAGTGTGGTGCTGTTGGCGTTTGGGGGTTGGTAATTCGTTGTATGAGGAGCTGTCCTGTCCATTGTTCTTTTTGTGTGCCTGTTTGAAAAAATATTTGTTATAGAAATGTGCATTTAATTCGTTTTAAGGAATGTACTTCACAATACTGTTAACATATATTTTCTCAAATTTTCAAGCTTTACACCTTTAAGAAGCAGCAATGAGCATTTGTTTATAAGTTTTACAAGAAATCATCACTTCATCGATTCAGTCACCACAGTTAAGATTAATATTCTCACTTTTTCTCTTCATTTCACCCTGTACTTGCAGGAAGAACACAGAATGGGATAGAGTTCCATCCTGGTGCTATTTACAGTCTGTGGAGTTGAATGAGAGGTGCAAATGGATAGAGAATTACTGCATTTTTGAAAACAACTTTATCTTGGAAAGATTACATAGATTTAACAGCCAACTGCAAAATCAACCATAAAGTATTTCCAACTAAATACACAAAATAAGTGTCTGTTAGGAGAAGGTGGTTGTGATGAAAATACCTGGGTAACATGCAGAATGACTAAGGGAGGATAAAATATTATTTGTAGTGGAACTCTGCATCAAGGTAGATAGATGATAGATAGATTGACAAATGGATGATTGATAGATGGATAATTGAGGATAGACAGATAATTATGATAGACTAGAGGCCAGGTGCATGAAATTTGGGCACTCAGGGGGGGAGTCCCTCAGCCTGGTCTGTGCCTTCTCACAGTCCGGGAGTCTCGGGGGATGTTTGACTAACAGCTTAGGCCCGGGCCTAAGCCGTCAGTCGGACATCCTTAGTGCTGCCTCAGAGGCAGGTCTAGCCACTGCGCTCGCTTCTGGCTGGGAGCCCAGCTTCTGGCTGAGCGGCACTC